GAAAGTTAGGATTCATGCATAAATACACATTTACTAATTTTGAAAGTCATGAGCAAGCACATGTTCTTATTGATTGAATGGACTTCTTGGTCCATTGATATTAATAATAGAATATGAGCAATCACATGTTCATCAAGAAAATTTCTCCTGACTTTTGGGGTTTCCCCAACCAACAATTTCCAATTTTAACCAACTCCACTGCTCACATGGTAAAGTTGTATTTGGTACAGAAGATTAAACGTTTGAGATTTTTTTTAGATCTCCATGATCCAAGTTCACGTGAAGTGGGAGCAAAAAATTCAAATTAAAAGAATGAGAAAAAGAATGAGAGTGTACGCAGAGTGTGAGATAATTCTCATTTAAAAGAATTGTGTAGCTTAGCGTATGACTATATAATCTATGACTATATAATCTAAGACCATTCGGAGATGATATGATACTAAAATTTATAAGCGTTGTTTAATTCTTTGGTGACTTGATATGTTTTGATTAACCGAGATTACCTAGTGTTTTAGACCACTTATTATAAGATCTGTCTTTCTAGGTGATGACATTGGAGAAGACATTGGGCAATTGTAAATATTAAAAAAAAAAACAATATTGTTAGTAGTGGGGATTAGTTAAAATGGTATAAGTTTTTCCTTGAAAAAAAAAACAGTTAAGTTGAGCGTTCGAATCGTGTTAGATTAATATTATGGGTGTTTATGGATTTACTTAATATTTGGGGAAAAAAAATTTATATATTTGCAAACATTGTTCCTTCTGAATAGGAAAATGATACTAGTTAATAACAAAGGGATAAACTGCAAAAAAAGAAAAAGAAAAAAAACAACAACTTCAACCATGTCGAAATTTACAAACAACTGCATAAAATTCCTTGAATTATTACATTTAGTTGCAAAATGCTATAATGCCTTGACTATATTTCATTAAATGACTATAATACCATTTCTTATTGAATTACACTTAACTTATTTTTCTTATTGAACTAAATTATGAAAAAAAAAATTTATATTAATTTGATGACATATTTTTCATTAAATTTGCATAAATTTACCTTTAATTTTTTAAATTAATTTTAAAATAAAAATCTTAAGTAGAAAATTTTAAAAAAATTTAAGTAACTTCTTAATTTTTAATGACTATATTGCATAAAAAATAAGGTATTTTTTAATTAAAGTATTTATTCCTTTTTCATGAATATATTGCATGAAAAAGAATGTATTTTCATGGTAAAAACGTGTAAAGTGAGTATAAAAAGTTTAATTATAAATAATAAAATTGTAATAATAAGTTAATCATTTTAGAAAATGGTAGTTACAAATCTGTTTATTTATTTTTTTTCATTTATATGATAAGTTGATACTAATAATAAAATTAAGATAAATGGGATAATTAATATTTAGATAAAAGAAAAGATAATAAAAATAGTTTAATAAAAAATGACAAATGTAACAAGAAATGCTAAAATTTAATAGTTTAGGAGAGTAATTTGTAGTTTAGAGAGATTATTTGCAAAAGAGCAATAGTTTAAGGGAATTTTTTGCACTTCATGCTAAAAAAAAAAAAAATTCATCCAACGAGATGAAATGATAGTTATAGCTTATTGGATTATGGTTTCACTAATTTTTATATGATATTTAGATATATACATGCACTATACACTTTAATTTCAATTGTGTATATATATAGGGAGCAAATAAAATGTTCATTGTCAAAGGGGGCCGTGAAAACACATTAGGGTTGGATGAAAATGGAAAAGAAGAAGCACATACAATGAGTATGCTTGGCACTGAGAGGTTGTGGTGTGCTCTTGGTCTCAAAAGCAACCCTAGCCTACTCCAAATTCATGTGCAGTATTATTACAATCTATGAGAAAAGTAATGCCTGTATATCTTCCATAATTACAGAAATGGATAGTGGAGGAGACAACCACCCCTTCACAGCTTGGTGGGTAGAATTTTAGTTCATTGATACACACACAACCTCCACTTTAGTAAATCAAATATAACTTAATGAAAACCCTAATATATGAAGTTTTCATTACTTTTTTAACTCACAAAATTTGATTGGTGTGGAAAAAAAAAGTGAAATGAGTCCCTACTAAATTGTGATGAAACCCTAATATATGAATTATTCTTTTAACTCAAAAATAAATAATAATAATAATAATTGGTGTGAAAAAGTGAAACTAGTCCCGAATTTCTCAACAATATTATCATTGACAACTTGTATTGTGATTTTTAATAAGACAACAATGATTACAAATTATTTCAATAATAATTTTTTAAAAAGTTGGTTAATTTCTCAAATGAAATAGAATGATGAAATAAAAAATTTAATGAACTGGTTTCCTATTAGATATCAAGCCTCATTTTAAAACACAAAAACACACTGTCCATATACTTTCCTTTCACAAAACTATATATATATATATATAAATAAATAAATATAAATATATAAAAATTTGAACTTCAATATATATAATAATAATAATAAAAAACATGTAATAATACCTCTCTAGTCTCTATATATATGCATATGTCAAGTGCAAAATATATGTTACTATGTACGTATGTATATTTATGTGAAGTCACAAATGGATAGTTATCTCACTTTTTTCTTACACTCAAAATGAGCAACTTGGAGTTTTTCCATTTTGGCATCAACACAATAGTAGAGACTCCAACCGATGGAAGAACATGTTATTCTCCGGCTAATTGTTATGCAATTCTGTAACTTTTCAGTCTTCTGTGATTTTTTTTTTTGGAGAAATAGTTGTGTATAAGGTTAGTATATAGCATAAAGTTGTTAATTAATTTGTCCTTGTCATGGTGTTTTTTTTTTTCATTATAGGTACATGTAATTTCTTGTGAGGGAGGTGGTGCTGGACCTCATGCTAAGAAGCATGTAATAATGTCAAAGTTTTATATGTATGTTTATGCACGCGTAGAAGTTGTAATACTTGACATGACAAGATAACACTATTTGGGTCATAATCATATTAATTGAGTAACTAAACTTGTGATGTTCGAACCATCAATTTGATTAAACTTGTTTAACTATATATATATTTTTAGAAATTACACTAATAAAGTTTTAATTAAATGTGTCTTAATATGTTGTGTTAGGTACCTCATTTAATATTTTAGTTGTCTTGCTGTCCACCACCATTCTAGTCTTCGACGAGACATGAAATTGCCAAGTCGAGCAAACTCATTGCCACTCAATTTTCGATTTCTTATAAAAAGGGTTTGTATGAGTGTCGTGCCATGTTATCTGTTTAATAACCATATTATGCTCATGATAATATTTTTTAATATGAATGATTATTATGTTGTGTTCATATCGATTCATTTAACATAATTAATACTCATGTTTTGCCATGACGCGAGCTCGACATTCTTATACAAATTGCCAAACCCTAATTATAAGCTAACTTCAAATTAAGTTGGCAATGGTCTTTCGGTCTTTCATTGTATCAAGTAAAGATGATAGGTTAAAAAGGAAACTCTAAAACAGTATACTTTGTCATAAATTGATTGATTAGAGCATTGACACCTTTTCTTGCCATTTGATATTTGGTCTAAGTGAAATTTATAGAATTTATTAGCACAAGTACTATTGGATTGATAATTTATGGGATAATTACATTTACTTTGCCTTGAAGAATGTCCAAATAACTAAGACTTTCCATCCAATTTCAAAAATAACACTAACCTTCCATCTCGTCCAAGTTTGATAACATTAACCTTTCGTCCCGTTCAGGTTTGAGTAACACTGACTACTCATGTCAAAAAAATTAAAACTCTTGTTTACTGATGTCATACTTAATATTTACTCAAAATCTAAAATTACCCTTAGTCTTTTTATTTTTTTTAAAGTAATATTTTATAATAAAAAAGATAAAAAAACGCCGTGAATGTAATTGTCATTTATCACATTACGGTCAAAGTTAACACTTATAACAAAAGAGATCAGTGTTATTTTTAAAACTTTAATAAAGAAGGTTCTTATTATTTGAACATTCTTGAGGAGAAATAAATGTAATTATCCCATGTTTTATTATAAGGAAAAGACTGATCATTAAAATATAATAAAAAAACAGTGGTGGTCACATGGGTGATGGTGTGGATATTGAAAATCCTATGATATTTTTTATTAGGTCACTTTGATTAGACAAGGAGAGGCCAGATCCATGGCCCTACTGCAGGTGAAAGTGATGCACCGCCCAAAATAGCAAAACATCAAACTTTTACAACAAATCTTTTCCCCACTTCTCAAATTTTTGCACAGTAGTTTGTTTTTACTTCTATTTTACCAAACCAATTATCATGTATAGTACACACACACACACATATATATATATACACACACACACACACACACACAAGTATTGTGACTAATGAATGTGTCAGAAACTATCTGGACTTTCAATGTTAGGGCATGTTTGAGGTACAACTTGGTTAACAACTAACCATCATATTTGTGAAAGTTCACTCATTCTTTTCCTCTTTTCCCGCTTTCTTTGTAGTATTCCCTTCTATGGAATTGATGGAATGATTTTATCGGTGTTACAGTACTAAGCTTTTGCAAGTCCTTTATTTTTTTTTTAAAAAAAAAGAAAAAAAAAAAAACAAAGGACTTGTTTGGTTTAATTATATAAGAATATTTTTTTGTTTCAACATGGGATAATTTAAATTATATTTCAACACATTTGTTTTAGATTTTAACACTTAAAACAAATGTGTTGAAATGTAGTTTACTCAATAAAAAAACAAATGTGTTGAAATGTGATTTACTCAATAAAAAACATATAATTCGTAACAAGTCACACTACTCAATTGAAACCCTAAGACTAGGAATTGTCCTCTTTAACTAGTTATTCACTCTGCATCTAATTCAATGGTGTAACATTTCCATAATAATATATATATATAATAAATCATTTTATGATATCAACTAATCCAAATCCAATCCATCTCATGCGCACAGAAAAATAAGAAAAATCTGCAATTTCAAGATGTATGCACAAATCTGGAATTTCTAGATGTATCCATATCTTCTCCAAATTCAGATTCTCATACCATACATATTGTCAACACTATGTCAGTAACACTGGTTTCCATTAAGGGATCAAAGTCAAGACTACCTCAACATGAATTAGGGTTTTCAATGAGTTGCCAAGATCAATATTTTGCTATAAATTTTGGTTCAGATTTTACAATTCTAACAAAGAACCTTCAACGACCTCCAAATTAATTATCAGCATTTGCAGCTCCAACCAAGATGCCGAGGTTTCTCAACTTTCCAGTATTTAATCAGCTACTACCAAGAAGGTTATGCAAGGAACCATTCTGGACAGCCGTTTTGAGATCTGGATCACAAAGAACAATCATAATACCACAAGAAGAATGTTAAAAAAGTCGATCTGAATGGCAAGTTTCGCAGCAAATCCCGAGAAGCAGAATTATTAAATGGTATGAGAGCAAAGAGCTAACCATCACTGCCACCGATATGTTTCCCATTCACAAATACTTGTGGAACAGTGCGTCGGCCCACCAGATCTAAAAGGACATTCTGAATTTGATACCCATCATCTGAACATAATCATGAAAACAAAACCACATTACATCATTTTCAAACTGTAGCAAAACGAAACCACTACGAACACATCCAAAAGAAAAAGGAAAGAAAGACAAAAGAAAACCACTTGTTGCTCACTAAGCTGTAGATAATGAAAAAGTCTTAAGCTAATAAGTACCTCGAAGATCAAGCTCCACAACAAAAGGTTGCTCATGTAGTTCACTGAATACGCGCTTGGCACGCAGGGAATACCTTTATATCAGGGAAAAACAACAAATTTTTTATATTCTGTAGCACTTTTTGAGCATGAGAGAGCAATTCTGGGCTGCTTGTCCAATAAATTGGTGGCAATTTTTGAGACTGACAAAAATAGTCGGTCTTTCATTCATTACATGCAGTCTTGGTCCTGATTAGACCTTTGGTAATTTAAGGACACTTTTGAGTGATAAACGGTAGCATGCTCAAGTTGAATAAAGCTAGTAAATTAAAAATGAATGCAAAAGTTGACATTATGTAACAAAGCATCAGTAATGCCAATTTCACAATAAACAAAAGTAGACAGATGACTTTTATGGTGAATATCAGCCGTTAGAATATCACTTATAACCTTGGCCAGCCAAGGTTTAAATGAAGCGATTCATTCAACAAAGGCATAACAATCTTGCCATTTAATGAACCAAGAAAAATAAGTACACGAATGATGTTCAGACAAAAGGATGTATATCTTCTCAGATTTGTGATTTAAATGTCAACAAAAGCACACCTTCATGAGCCACAGTCCCCAAGCCAAGTTCAAACACAAAAAATGATTTGTTACTCTGGACAATAGCTGCCAGTTCTATGATCCTCAAAGATAAAGCTTCCAGTTAGATATGTTATCTGTAAGTGTAAAGAAAACGTTCTAGCCTTTCCCTTTTATCATATTAACTTATATAAATATCAGATTAACCAGGCCAGCCAGCCAGCCAGTAGTTTTATAATGACACGACATTTTGTCTTTTCAAAACCATGTCAGGCACCTAAAATCCTGATGAATCAATGATATCTTGTTACATTGCTGAAGAGGTTTTTAAACTGGAAGTAAGATGGAAGATGAGTTAAAGCAGAAAATGCATGCTGTTTGATGGTACAGTGACAAGAGAACATGATCAAAGAGAGACTTGTCAAGTAAATTTAACGGCTGCTTTGGTGCCAGTAAATTAAATTTGGTAAATATGTTGGGGTCCAGCATGAGTTCAGAGCTGCAATCTCCAACGCTACTATTACTTCATCAGTCAATGTCCTTCAGACGTTATAAAAATTCCATGTTTGGTTATCTGAGTGATTTCTGGAATCTTTATACGCTTGTAGCTTTTTTTAAAGATATTTTATTTATATAAACGGCGTTTAGCAGTTATGCCCCTCTATAAGTCATGTGTAAATTGGGTTGCATTTCCTTTGGCGTGCTTGTCCAAATTAGATATTTATATATATGAAAAACAGAAAGATTGCTGGCTGTAATTATAAGGTTCCACCAAGGTTGTCAAGATTTGGATTCTTTGTAGAATCGATGAGGGGTCCATAGGATCGGGATCGTAGGATCAGATCGAAGATCATAAGATTAAAAAAAACTATCAAACAAATAACTAACCTAGTTTTCTAAATCAAATATCTTTGACATAAGTAGAGAACAAGGCCAAACATCCAACAATCTAGCAAAATCAATTAACATTAAAAGAAACTAAGACATATGGCAAAAACACTTAAAAAACAATTTCTCGATTTCCTCCATACAAAAGCATTTGCCTAAACTTGGGGGAAAAAAAGAAAAAAAGAAAGAAAAAAGAAGAAGAGAAGATTAGCCTAAAAATCAATAAGAAACTAAGTAAAGCCTAAACAAATAGAACAATTTAGTTTCCTAATTTTCTAAGCAATTTAGTTGAAAAGATTAATTTTTGCTTCAGAAAAAGAACAAAACAAAGATAGAAAGAACAACTTGAAAAAACAAAGTCTCTATTTTTGTTTCAGAATGGACAAAGAATAGGCCGAAAATTAGAGTCTGTTCTGGTTGATGTTCTGAAAAAGAAAGAAAACAGGAATTAAGAAGAATAAAGTAAAATAGAAAAAATTTGTTAAGCACCTTTAACATTCAGAGCTGGATCGTCTCTACCTTTGACACGGGGTCTCTGTTTTTTGTTTTTATTTATTTTTAATGCAATTAGGTTAATAAAAAAGGGCTTTATATCTAAAATGATTAAATTTGTTAGCCCAAAATGGGTTGTAGGTGCAAATAAAATCAAAAGAACAAAAAACACAATTTAGCAGGATTGGTAGGATCGTATGATCCTATGCGATTCTACAATCCTACATATGATTTTACCGATCCAACTGTGATCCTACTTCCCAGCAATTTTTCATGTGATCGGGATCAATTTAGCAATTTGGGATCGTAAGATTCTACAATCCAGATCGGCATTTTAACAACCATGGGTTCCACTCTACGGCATATATGACACATGCAGGCAATTATTCACCAAACTAAGTCCTAACACTACATAGTCATGTGTCCTTCAAAGTGGTTGAGAATTATTGAGTGCTAAGAATGGGTATAGCCGCGATTGTTGTGCCGAATATGCATATTGAAGTCATTGATAAATCTTCTAACTAAAAGGTATGCAGTACTTGAGGAGAGAATGTGAAAAGAGGATAACGGGACACGTCTCCCATAATTGAAATGACAATAAAATAGTCACGTGTACAGTGTACCTCAGTGGTTGTTTTCCCGTGTATAGGTCTCATTTGTGTGTCATCGACAATAAGTACCACTTTCTCTCACAAAATAAAAAGGTCATCCCTCTCTAAAGGGAAAAACCCACTCGAACGGCTAGGGTTTGTCAGCCTCTCCTTCCTCTTTCCTCTCTTTCCTCCACCCTTACCTATCACACCTTCCAGAGGAGTCTCCACGTGAGATGCATCTTTGTCACAAACCCTCACCCACACTAGCCATTGGAACAAATGTTTCCTTTCTTTCAAAACAAAACAAGTCGCTAGACATAGTCAATGGTTCCAATAAGATATACAAATTTCCAATTGGAGAATTTAAGGTAAAAAAATTGAGCATAGAATAAAGTTACACAACGAAGTTTGTAATATAAAATAATGGCGACAACTACAAAAGTCTAGAAGCATTAACGGATTTTTATAACTCATTCATTTGTTCACTAGAAAACTTTCTTGATGCATTGTGGATTCCTGTATGAAGCTTTTGTAGATGTGTCTCCAAGTATTCCTCAATCATTTCTTCAAATAGGAGGAACGATTTCACATATAAGATGTAAAAGAGATATTCAACATTCTAGTATACCAGTTCGCATGTAAAATGTTTGGCTTCTCAAACGTGATAATGCAGTTTTGAATCATTAGAGCAGCCATTTTGTGCAAATAATGCCAGATGTTATGTCATTTCCAATCCGCCCTCCTAGCATACTCACCTAACGAGTATCACGCTCAGTAATGACCCTTTCTATGGACAATACACGCGAGGAGAGCTTTAAGGTTCTTTACACACAGTCATATGTAATACCACTTAAATGCAGTCACTTCTTCGATCCAACAACTAATGAATCGAGATGTTTAGAAACACACTGTAATCAAATTATACAACACATAAGTCTAGTATGCATCATGTCATTGAACAATTATATAATATATACATGTAGACATGTAGACAAAATTTGCCAAAATTGTCTTCCATTTAGCATTTTAGATACACTAGTTCGTGCTTTAAAATGGAACCACCACACCAAATCAGCTAAAAGAAATAACACATAGGGTTTTAATTTAAAATCCTCCATTACCACCGTTTGAGGTCATACAGAACCCTAATTTTAAGAATCAACATTGGATTATATAATAAATATTACAATTGGACATGGGAACAAGTTAACTTGCCATGAATTAGAAATTGGATGCTTCTAAATACAATCTAATGGAAGATGATTATTGGAATCAAGAGAGAGACTTACGGACAGTATGATTTGGAGAAAATGGCAATCTTGTTGGAGTAGATTGCATTCTGTACGTAGGCCGATACTGAACTTGAGGCTAGGGCTTCATTTGGTCCATTGCTCAACAACAATATACCAACAATTGCTATAACAGCGATGATGAGCTTATAACTCTTCATCTTCTCTCTCCTCTTTCTCTCTCTAGTTTGTACAGAGAAGTGCTCGCTCCGTAGAAACTGGTGGAATACTGGTATGGTGTACTTCAAACTCGACATCTAAAGTTTTTATCGTCTATGAACCAACCATAAAGAGAATCCATAGTCCTTTGGGCCCTTCATGCTTATAAAATTGCTTTACCAGCCCATGGGCCTTTAGGCCTAGAATTCATGTACGTAATTTGGATGGGTCAATTTAAAATTTTACCGCGAAAAATAAATATATAAATTTTAATAATTATTCGGGTGCACATGGGATGGTAGGATTGCAAGTGTCCAGTGGTGGATTACAGTGTTAGGCAAGATCATTGCCTCCATATCCTCGAAAACTCTCTACGGGTGTGCTTTAAGATTGTGTTGGGTTACGATCTCTTCTTGTTGAATGGGGGTATCACCTGATTGTCTCCGCCCACCTAATTCATCCACAAGAGCTCTCGCTTCAAGTTGAAGAGAGCTTCAATGGTTTACCGGAATGTTGAATAGCCTACTCTAACGGTCACCTAGGTACTTGTATAGTTAGGCTATTTGATTTGGGCTATGGGCTCTTGTATACTAGTTGTATGGTCTATTTATTTGGGCTTGAATGGAGCCTTTGTGCCATTGTATGATACAGACTGAATCCTCCTTCAATGGGCCTAGCTCTTGTAGGCCCAACCCTCTATTCATATCACTTATTTGCTTGAATTTTCCAATAATAATAATAATAATAATAATAATGAGACACAACCTAACTTGAGCTTGCCAAGTGCCAACCCAATCTAATCCAAACCTAACTTGAAGTAGCCAAGTGCCAACCCAATCTAATCCAACCCTATTACGAGTATATGTGTGTATAGATAGACAATATAATTAATGAGATTTTGTTTGTATGAATGATAGAATTGTTATTGTTAAGAACTCTCTAAACACTTTGTAATTTTTTGACATAATAATTCTTACATTACCATCAAGTTGAAACCAAACTCAATTTCTAAATCGTTTTTTTGATAATTTTTTGAAATAGTTTGGAATTACATGAACATACCCAATCACAATCTGACATACAAATAAATGTAACAACTTTATTCAATTTAATTTAATTAATTTATTTATTTATTTTCATGTTGGGCTATTGATTGGCTCAGACCATACAACGATTTTTCTCATTTTTCTCAAATTAAAGGTTTGCAACTTAAATTGACTCTAGAATAGCTCTTTAATTAGTGAAACATACCCAAGTCAAGATTATATATATATATATATATATAATGCAGTCGGTCGGCCCACCACTAAGTGCTGTCTCCTTATCTGATGTGGCAACAATTTCATCCTCAATTACGGGGACAGGATAATATTCCTGTAGGGACTAATGAATTTTTTTTTTTTTTTTAATATAAATTGAACAATATCTCAATATATATATGCAGGATCGATATATGAACAAATTTAAACAAGAGTTGAACAGACTTACAGAAAACTTTCTTTATTAAGCTTCCAAGCTAGAGAAATATTACAAAAGAGAGAAAAGAAAAATTGAAGTACTTTGTAATGGATGCGATAAATAACACTTATCACTTCCGATCCAGGTAAATAATCATACCCATAAGTCTGAATCCTAAGACTAACTGCTTCATGGATATTTTTATCTGTCAAAGATAAATTCAGACTAGGATAGACATTAAAATAAACCGGTCCATGACATAGACTGGTTTCCAGTGCACCCATCAAGGAAGGGTGAAATTTCAGACATCGAGCATCCCTAAGGGTTGCTTGAATACAGGCATCCATACCTAACAAGGTTAAAGGTTTAAAAGCAATTTGAATTAAACCTATATGGATGTACTTATATTTATGCATGTGCCTCTGAAGGTCACGGGAAGACAATAACTTAATTATTGTATCCTTAGTGCTTAATTGCATGGTCTGTTCTATGGTCTTGATAGTCCATAGATCAGCTAAATTAAGCATTCCGATTTTGTAAATGCTTTTTGCACTTACTGGAGGGGTAGTCCATCTGTTCAATTTATTTTGAACATTGGTCCATTCCACTACTTCAGTATTTTTTACCAGTTCTGAATCCTGGTTGTCCTGTAGTCCTGAAGAGGAGGACGAAGATGGTTGTAACATGTCTGTTAATTATTGTTAATGCTTTAAGGTCTGAACAGTATAAATATTATAATATTATATAGTGAACAGTAAGTTACTATTCTGTCATCCTTCTGCTTAAGAGAGATTCTATTACTCGTCTGTCAACGATTTACTGGAAACAATACCCTGTGCAGCAATCTAATGCAAAAACGGGTTGAACATTCCAACGCGACTTTTGGACGACCCATAATTGAATCTGGGATAAACATAATTTAGACAGAATAATATTCATATTGTTCATTACATAATTACTATAATAAGCATGCTACCAGAACCTAAAAAGCATTAACAATAAGAATTTAAGCCATCATGGCTCTGATACCAAAGTTAACTATTCCAGAACCCGAAATCTTTAACCCATTTGAACTTGTTAAAGATATGATCAGAAAACAACAACCATTAATTACCGAAGCTGATTTAATGGTTAAATGCATGGATTTTATGAGGACCAAATTTGTTAAATCTTTTGAGTTCTCCACCCCTACAGTACGAGATGACTATCTTTGGAATTCGGAAAATGCTTCGTGTGGTTGATCTCCACAGAGGAAGTTTCAGTAAGAATGGCTTCATAGATATATCTATGGCGACCATCCGGTGCAGCATATTGTTGAGTTTGGAAATATCTGGATTTTACTTCCCAAGGATCTGGCATCCATTGCTCATCTTGGGAATCCAGTACCAATAATGTTTGAATATACCTTTGATTTGGTATCAGAGCCATGATGGCTTAAATTCTTATTGTTAATGTTTTTTAGGTTCTGGTAGCATGCTTATTATAGTAATTATGTAATGAACAATATGAATATTATTCTGTCTAAATTATGTTTATCCCAGATTCAATTATGGGTCGTCCAAAAGTCGCGTTGGAATGTTCAACCCGTTTTTACATTAGATTGCTGCACAGGGTATTGTTTCCAGTAAATCGTTGACAGACGAGTAATAGAATCTCTCTTAAGCAGAAGGATGACAGAATAGTAACTTACTGTTCACTATATAATATTATAATATTTATACTGTTCAGACCTTAAAGCATTAACAATAATTAACAGACATGTTACAACCATCTTCGTCCTCCTCTTCAGGACTACAGGACAACCAGGATTCAGAATTGGTAAAAAATACTGAAGTAGTGGAATGGACCAATGTTCAAAATAAATTGAACAGATGGACTATCCCTCCAGTAAGTGCAAAAAGCATTTACAAAATCGAAATGTTTAATTTAGCTGATCTATGGACTATCAAGACCATGGAACAGACCATGCAATTAAGCACTAAGGATACAATAATTAAGTTATTGTCTTCCCGTGACCTTCAGAGGCACATGCATAAATATAAGTACATCCATATAGGTTTAATTCAAATTGCTTTTAAACCTTTAACCTTGTTAGGTATGGATGCCTGTATTCAAGCAACCCTTAGGGATGCTCGATGTCAGAAATTTCACCCTTCCTTGATGGGTGCACTGGAAACCAGTCTATGTCATGGACCGGTTTCTTTTAATGTCTATCCTAGTCTGAATTTATCTTTGACAGATAAAAATATCCATGAAGCAGTTAGTCTTAGGATTCAGACTTATGGGTATGATTATTTACCTAGATCGGAAGTGATAAGTGTTATTTATCGCATCCATTACAAAGTACTTGATTCTATGTGTCCCAATGCCGTACGTAAAGATTCTAAAGGAGTAACAGCGTTATGGGACACCAACATGTACACATCAAATGTTGCCACAAAAAGGATGATTCCTTGGAGTGAGACAACATTTCCTGAACACTGGACGATTTCTAATGCCGTTCCAGCACAGCTAATTGCTAATCATAGCTTAGACTGTGTTATTCAGGACCAAGATGGTGATGTTTTTCTGAATTTCAGAAAATCCATAGATCTTTCCAGATCTACATCATCTAAAGGAAGTCATCTTCCTTATCATGTTTCTTGTCCTCCTTCTCGACATTCGATCTCGTCGGATTACCGAAAGGAAGAACTCCCTGAAGCAGTTGGTTCCAAGCTCAAACTGAAAGGAATACAACAATCTCCGAATCAAATTCCAAGAGGAGTCTACGAGAAAGCACCAATAGGTATGTCTCGCCGCTAATTCGGAATTGAATTCAGCCCAACTCCATCTGAATTGGGAATCGGAAATGAATCTGTCAAGGATCAATTTGATGATCCTCCCGACATGAATGATCCTCATGAATATTAGTTTTAATGGATTTTGTCCCAGATAGAATTGCCATTAATACTGAATTTCAACAGGATCAATAGAAAGAATTCAGAAATTGGTATTTTAAAGTTTTTGACCAAAATCAATTACAGCTTTTTAAAACCCAATTTTATGAATTTTTACAAGAACGCAAAATGGTTATACCTTTTGTTTCTTGGTTCTACATGACTAATCATTCTCTTGTTAATATAAACATATTGGATGATTTTCTCAAACCATGGACCACATCTGAAGATAAGGTTTTTCACTCTGTCCATCCTCCCACTGAACATCTAATTCTGAAAAGAATTGACCCTGACAGTGGTTCTAAAGTGGAAGCCAAGGCTTATAGCCAACCCAGAATAATTGATCCATCCTGTAATGCTACTAAAAAGGACATTTCTCATATTTACAGGCAGAACAATTATACTAATGTTTGTTTACAAACGATAGGGTCCCAGCTTGGGAGAATTGAAACTGGAATTGACACGGTATTAAATACAATTAATACTAAGTGTATTACTGTTCAAACTTCTCCTCCAGACGCTTCCTTATCCAAAGCATTGGTGAAACCTGCAATTGAAGTTCCAGGCTTCAATCTTACACATCCTAAGAAGAATGAAGAATTTCTTACTCTTCTTACTCAGAAAATTCAAGGACTTAAAATTCAGACTTTATCCCATGATGAATCTGAAATTGGTTCTGATTCTGAGAATGTGTTACCTCATATTGAGGTATTCCA